ATAAGACACCCCCCACTTTTCCAACCCCAAATTAAGAAATCAATATTTTAAAATATTTTGCTGGTTTTCCTGTTACAGCCTTTTTTTTTTTTTTTTTTTTTTTTCCATCTTAAAGAGTTTTTCTTCCTGTTTTCTCCATTGTCTGACAATACACTTAGTGGGAGGAGGTCCAAATTGTCTCTCTGCAGCTCTGTTTCCAGGCTTTTTTTGCATAGCTGATTACATTCAGTTTGAATTTTGCAGAGTAAGACAATCACTTACTGGTATTTATCTTTTTATTTTTTGACATCTTTATGGGCTCCGAACGCTCTGGTCCCCATTGCATCTGCACACTCTCTACCTCCTCCTCTAATTAGAGCATCAGTTGACCTCAGTAACAATAAAGCTTGTGATTGGAGGAAGCCTGTTCAATAAGGTATGGGCAACTACGTACTGTGCAGCTCCCTCCTTGGCTGACTTCTGTGTATAAGACAGCCCTTTTAGTCTAATGATTCTGGAAAAACATAGTGTCTTTTACATGGGAAAATATGGCATATCCCCTGTTTCCCCCCATTGACCCCTTCTGGCCCTTCCCCACCACCCACCCCAGGCCTTCACTACCCTATTATCTGTGTCCATGGGTAATGCATATATGCATACAAGTTCTTTGGTTGATCTATTCCCACCTACCCACCCCTGTCTTCCCTCTGAGATTCTACAGTCTGTTCCATGCTTCCATGTCTCTGGATCTATTTTGTTAGTTTATGTTGTTAATTAGATTCCACATATGAGTGAGATCATGAGATACTTGTCTTTCTCTGACTGGCTTATTTCACTTAGCATGATACTCTCCAGGTTACTCCATGCTGCATAGTATTCCATGTTGTAAAGGTACTACAGCTTTGTAGTCCACTTGTCTACTGATGGGCACTTGGGCTGTTTCCAGATTTTAGCTGTTGTAAATGTGCTGCTATGAACATAGGGATGCATACTTTCTTTCTGATTAATGTTTCGTGTTTCTTAGAATATTCAGTGGAAACTTGGTTCTCAAACCTAAGGCTGTTTGAGAAGTGATTTGTTCGAAAACCGAATCATTTTTTTCCCCCATTAGAAATAATGTAAATTGAATTAATATGTTCCAGACACCCAAATGATTCCCTGTTTTAAACTTTCTTCTTTTTAAAAAAATATATTTTATTGATTTTACACAGAGAGGAATTGAGAGGGATAGAGAGTTAGAAACGTCGATGAGAGAGATACATCAACCAGCTGCCTCTTGCACCCCCCCCACTGGGGATGTGCCCACAACCAAGGTCCATGCCCTTGCCCGGAATCGAACCCGGGATCCTTCAGTCCGCAGGCTGACGCTCTATCCACTGAGCCAAACCGGTTTCGGCTAAACTTTCTTATACATAGGACATGTCTAGTGTACTATTTAATCTATAAATAAACACTTATTTTCTTAAATTTATCAAACCACACCCTACTAGCCTCAAAGGAATTTTTCATATATCACTGCTTCTGAAATCTATCACTGGCTAGTTACTTTTCCTTTATCCAGTAAACAACAGTTTTTCTACCTATTCAATTGCCTGTGATTGTTGTTTTGTCAATACTTTTACACCCTTAACAACATTAGCACTCTTTTTCTTTTATTTTTTAACAGCACTCTTGATGGCCTCTTTAGATTTTTAAAATTGTGCCAAACCTTCATTTCGCCAGCAACAAATTTATTTTCTTCTTTGCTGCCTGAGAGACACTTTTGTTATACTGAAGTATCAGCATGAAAGAGTTGTCAGGTGGAAAACTGAAGTTTTGGTTGATGACTGAGGCTAAAAATATATATATATATATATATATATATATATATATATATATATATATATATATATATATATATATTTATTTATTTATTTATTTTATTTTATTGATTTTTTTTTTTTTTACAGAGAGGAAGGGAGAGGGAAAGAGAGAAACATCAATCAGCTGCCTCTTGCATACCTCCAACTGGGAATGTGCCTGCAACCAAGGTACATATCCTTGACTAGAATCGAACCTGGGACCTTTCAGTCTACAGGTCGACACTCTGTCCACTGAGCCAAACCGGTTAGGGTGATGACTGAGACATTTTTTCTGTGAACAACTTGGTCAAGAACTGAATTGTTTGATATGGGAGATTTTCAAGATATTAATACAAGGTTTAACTGTGTTCCTAGAAGTGGGATCACTAGGTCATACGGCAGTTCCATTTTGAGGAAACTCCACACTATTTTCCAAAGGGGTTGTACCAATCTGCATAGCCACCAGCAGTGTACTAGGGTTCCTTTTCCTCCACACTCTCTCCAGCACTTGTTTGTTGATTTATTGATGGTAGCTATTCAGGAAGGTGTGAGGTGGTATCTCATTGCCATTTTAATCTGCATCTCTCTGATGATTAGTGACATTGAACATTTTTTCAAATGTTACTTGGCCATTTGTATGTCCTCTTTGGTCCTCTGCCCATTTTTAAATTAGATTACTTATTATCCTTTTGTTGAGTTGCATGAGTACTTTATATATTTTGGAAATTAACCCCTCTATTTTTTTAAAAATAATTTTTTTTAGAGAAGTTTTAGGTTTATAGCAATGTTAAGAGGAAGTTTTACCAAATTTCCTTCCACCCTTGCCCCCACACATGTATAGCTTCCCTCATTACCAACATCACTCACTGGTTTGATGCATTTGTTAAAATTGATGAGCCTACATTGATGCTTCATAATCACCAGAAGTCCATAGTTTGCATTAGGGTTCACTCTTGGTGTTGTACATTCTATTGCTTGCATACTTTTCAATTGATCATTCTTGTAACATTTACATGAGGCATCTAATAAATATCTTCCTATAAATATGAGAGCATTTCCCTAAGATAGACTCAAAGAAGTAGGATTTGTGGGCCCTAGGATATGTGCATCTTAAATTTTCATAGCTAGTAACAAATTGCTGATTATAGTAAGTGTGTATGTTAATTTATCCTAGTACTTAATGAGAATATCCATTTCCCTCTGGTCTAATGAATGTTGAATGTTATACAACTCTATATTTTTCTAATTCCTGCAATATTAGCTTCTTGTATTAATTTCAGTATTCTTGATGACTATGTCTTAGCATCTTTTCCTTTTTTCTTTTTTTCATATTTTTATATTTTTATTATTTATTTATTTATTTAATATATTTTATTGATTTTTTTTGCCCCCCTCCCTCCCTCCCATACATACCCTCCCTCCCCAGAGTTTTATGTCCATTGGTTGTACTTATATGCATGTATACAAGTCCTTCGGTTGATCTATTATCTCCTCCAGATCTTCCTCCCCTCCCCACTGTAATTTAACAGTCTCCCTGTTGCTTTACTGTTTATATATCTGTCTCTTGGTTCATCAGTTTATAATGTTCTTTATCATCCACAAATGAGTGAGGTCATGTGGTGTTTCTCTTTCATTGATTGGCTTATTTCACTCAGCATGATGTTCTCCAATTCCATCCAGGTTGCTGCAAATGATGAGAATTCCTTCTTTTTTATGGCAGCATAGTATTCCATTGTGTAGATGCGCCATAGTTTTTGGATCCAATCATCTGCTGATGGGCACCTAGGCTGTTTCCAAATTCTGGCTATTGTAGATTGTGCTGCTATGAACATAGGGGTGCATATATCCTTTCTGACTGGTGTTTCTAGTTTCTTGGGATATACTCCTAGAAGTGGGATTACTAGGTCAAATGGGAGTTCCATTTTCAGTTTTTTGAGGAAACTCCACGCTGTTCTCCACAGTGGTTGCACCAGTCTGCATTCCCACCAGCAGTCTTAGCATCTTTTTCTGTTAATGACCTATAATTTTCTCTTTCTAATATATTTTTAGCATTTTTATCATTGAAATTTAAAAATTATGGATTAATCTCTTACTAACATTAAAATATTTTATGTAGTCTTCAGGCTTCATTAATGGTGTTCTTTATCATCCAGAAACCTTAAGTAGTAAAGCTTGTTAGTTTTTTCTATGCCTTTGGATTTCGATTATGTTGTTAGTGAAATTTTGTTAATGAAAAGGTGTGTTGTTAATGAAATTTTAAATTGTGGCCTCTGTTTTCTTTTGAAATTTCCCATATATTTATACATATTGCCCCTTTTCTAGGAGAATGGGGTTTCTCAGCTTTGGGGTAACAGAAGAGAACATGATATTTGCTGTTAAAAGTTATTATATTACAGCATAGTGATTAGATATTTATTAATAATTTTAATAATTGATATATATTCAAATTATTTTAATTGCTTCCAAAATATTTTTTATAGCTATGTATTTGAATCAGAATACCACTTAGATTGACATTGGATTTGATTGTTATGTTGCTTTTATTTGTTTTCTAAAATAGCATTAGTCTTAAAATGATATTGACTTTCTTTTTAAAGTTTACTGACTTTAGAAGAGTCCAAATCACATGACTTGTTGAATGCACGATGTTCTTGATTTGCTGTTTGTTTCCTCATGATGTTATTTAACTTGTTATTCTGTTTCATGTATTTTATGTATACTAATACTCGTGTCTGAAAGAACAAGTCCCAGCAAGTCAGTGGGCCAGTGAGTAAATATTTTGGCTTTGGGATTTTGCAGTGTCTTTCACAACAACTTAACTCTGACATTGTAGTATGAAAGGAGGCATAGACAAAATCCATCAACACATGACTGTGGACGTGTTCTAGTAAAAGTTTATTTATAAAAGCAGGCAGATGCCTGGATTTAGCCTGCATGTTATAGTTTCCCAACCCTTGATTGAAACGCTGGATTAGATTTTGGTTAGACTGATTTGTCAACAATTCTTTATTTATACACATAGGATATTGTAAAGTCGCATCTTATCAGGAGATAATGTTAGGTTACCCACTATTGACAAAAGTAAGCTGATCATTAAGGTCTTATGGTGACTGTCATATCTCCCTATTGTAAATGGCACTTTGGCCCCTGTAATTAATCAATAACGTATGAGGTGGTATATTTGGCAGTGTGGGACTGACTAGCCTGTCCTCTAACAGCTTTTTACATTTTTTTTTAGTGGCCATTTACTTGATATTGCAAAATCATGATTTTCTAATTTTATCTCATCTTCTAAAATTATTAGCTGATATTTTTAGGTATCACTATGGACTCATGGATATTTTTAATGTTAAGGTCATTTATAGGCATTTCCCCATATGTTCAAATTATACAAATATGGTCTGTGGAAATCCATAGGGAATTTCTTACAGGTGAAATTGCTCTGGATTGGGTTTTGCCTAGGTGAAGTAATATAAACACAATTACACAATATACTGTAGCAATACACACCTTGCATAAAACTCAAATTTATAAAATGCAAGGATGTAGAAACTATTGATTTTATTCTAACATTTTCTTTACATATAAGCTTTGTGAAATCAGGAACTGGATTTGTCTTGATCTGTGTGCAGCACATGGTGAGTAAGAGAAATATTTTTAAATGAAAAATTAGTAAGTCTTTAGAAATGAAGAGTGAAGTCAAGGCATGTAGGTAGGGAGGCCAAATACAGGTATTTGAACATTACTTTTATATGTTGTTTTAAGATAGACATTTGATGATGATTTTCCTTGTTTATATATATTTAACTTGAGGAACATTTTTGTAGAAAAACAGGTTGAAGTGGAAGGTTTAACCCAAGACAAGTGAGGAATTGGGTCTTAGCTCCCTGACTATGCTGGGATTGAGCTGCGCATACTGTGTGGACCAGAAGACCCCAATTCTCTAGTAAATGAATGTCAAACATTTCCTGTATACTTTCTCCCACAATGGTGCCATGAAGAGTTACTTGTAACAGACACAAAAAGTATTTTCTATATTCTTTGCCCAAAGGATGACTGTTCAGTGTTTTCCTTATTTTCCAGGAGACAGGATCATCTGGTGTAGTTGTTAATTTCATTCTCCTGAGATGGAAGGGATAAAAATGATACTGTATTAAGAAGTGCAAGATGTGTACTCTGAAAACTATTAAAGATTGTCAAAAGAAGTCAAACAACCTAAAGAAATGGAAAAATATTGCATGTTCATGGATCAGAAGACTTACGAGTTAAGATTGCAGAACCTCCACATTGATCTATAGATTCAACAAAATGCTTATCAATATCTCAGTGAAATTTTTCTCATAAATGACAAGCACAGCTTAAAATTTATATGGGTCTTAAAAGAGTCCAGAACAGCTAAAACAATCTTGATAAAAAAAAAAGAAATTTGTGGAGTCAATTCCCCAATTTCAAACTTGCTACAAACTATAGTAAGATAGATGATGGAAGAGAGTTAAATATACAAAAATAAAACCTTATATTTATCATGATTTGCTTTTGACAAAGATGTCAGGACAATTCACCGATGGAAAGAACAATCTTTTCAATAAATGATGTTGAGAAAACTGGATATCCACATGTAAAAGAATGGGTATATCACACTGTAAAAACCTCAAATCATTAAAAATAAATTCTAAATCATATACCTAGATGTAATAATTAAAACTACACATTTTTTGAAAGAAAATATGTATAAATCTTATGGGTGTTAGTCAATTCTTTTTTAAATATGATATCTAAAGCACAAGTAAACAACAACAACAAAAAAGATAAATTTCACTTCCACACAGTAAAAAAAAAAAAAGGATCAAGAGTGTGAAAAACCAACCACACAAGAATGGGAGAAAAGAAACTGGATAGAGTAAATGAAATCTAAAGAAGAGGAAGACAGTTCAGTCAGAAAGTTAGAAAGAATGTCAGGAGGTTGAGATCTAGGAACCAGGAACAAAAGAGAAGTTTCATGGTAGAGGCAGTAACCACAACACCCAACAGTACTATTTATTTCATTCAGTGATATGAAGGTCATTAGAGGCTTAAGAGAGAGCTCTTTGGTGCAATGATGGAGGCACATACCAGTTTTGAGTATTTGAGGAAGAAGAGTGAGGGATCAAATGTATAACTTTAATAATTTTTAACAAGACAGATTTAGCATGTTGCAATGAAGGTGGAGTGGATCATTGATGCTGTTGAGAAGGTGAGACTGCAAGGTTCAGAGAGAGAATGCATGCACAGTAATGTAAAGTTATGGAGCAGTCAAGAGTTTTGGAAACCAAAATGCAACAGAAGGACTAGCCTTAAAAAAGGTAGAAGCATATTTTGTCTGTGGCAATAAGATGGAATGAGGAGAGAATGAACCAGATGTCCAATGCCTTGTGTTTTTGAGAGCACAAAGTTGACCTTGTTTCATCCTGCTTACTTGATTTGCTATGGAAGAAATTGGTAGAAACATCTGCTGGAAAGGAAAGAATTAGAAGAATGAGATTCTTGATGAATGGAGAATTTGGGAACGATTAGTTGTAAAGGGTTGGACAAAGAAGTGGATGATAAATATGCATAAGGCTTGGGAGGCAGCATGGTGGGTCCATGGAAGTTGGGAAAAAAAGTGAATTGTCTGAAAACCTCGCACAATCCATATAGAACTTATGAGTGTCATTTTCTTTACCTACCAAATGGGAATGTAATAATACTTATCTTCAAGAGCTGATGTGAAGAACATGTGAACAAAAATCACAAGACAAAATTTTATAAACCAGAATATATCTATGTTCATTGCTATTTTAGGGATCCCTCCTTAGCCTTTTGTGAATCTCCTTCCTGGCTTTGCATTATTTGTATGTGTTGAAAATTCCAGGAACAATTGTAGATTCTCAAGGAAAGTCTCAAATCGAGCCTAATACTTATTTTTACCAGCTTTTATAACTATATATGCCATGTATTTATTGTTATTTATATAACGGTAGCATGGAATGAATTGGGATAAAGGATGGTGCTGTGACTGTGCAGTTTGAGCATCACAGCTTCAAATAATTAATTCCTGCTTGCTGAGCTGATCAACCATAGCTCTTCTCTCTGCTTATGAGGAAATGTTTTGTATCTTTTCACTAAGTAAAATTAAAAACCACATGAATCATGTCTCACAAAGTGAGTGCTCTACACACAGGAGAAGAGAATCATGGGTAAGGGGCAAGGTGAGTACATCAACACAGTGAGTGGAAGTACAGGAAGACCTCCATTGTTGACATGGAAATGCCTTGGGATGAGTCCACAAGTAAACTTAGTGCGAGCCATCCTAGGGCATCACGGCTATATGTCAGGTTGTCCAGTGTGATGGGCATGAGCTATTCAAGTGGATCATCCAGTAAAGTGCTCTGGGAGAAATATGTGATCTTACCACATTGTGTTTGGAGACTTTACACATAGCCCTGCTGGAGAGTGTGTACTTCTCAGAGTCGACTTTGGTTTCCTTGACTCCTTTCAACCATTTCCTGTATTGCGCCTGGACCTACAGAACCAAAGCATGCTCTGAGTCAGCTCACTGAGAGGACTGAGAGTGGAAAATCCTGGGTGGAAGCAGACAATAGTACCTGCTGGCTGAGGAGGCAGTACACCAGGAAGATGAAGACGCCCTGCAGGCTGTTGATGATGGTGAAGAGATAGGACATAGCATGAGCAGCTGGACCCACCTGCAGGATTCCCAGACACCACGTGCAGCCCAAGATGAAGAGCTGAGCCATTGCTTTAAATGTCAACATCCTGGGTGGGAGGAAAAGAGAGGTCAGTGGTGCACCCAGAGCAACAGAATTAAGGTTATCCTAATCTCTCTCCCAGGGATGCATGACTGAGTTGTGATCAACTTTGATAACTACTCTCAATGATCCTTTGAAAGAAATGCTATCAGTGTTTATCATGTCATTTTGACTTTGAGTGAACATCTCCCATCTTGAACAATTTGGTTCTTAACCAGGTTGTCCATAGAAAAAAATGTCTTGGTTAACTTCAGTTCTTGATCTGAATACATCATTATGACAAAAAGTGTCTCTCAGACCACAAACTAAGGAAAGAATGTGCCAATACGAGTCAGTTTACAATTAAACATTGCCTTATTAACATCTCAAGAAATTGTGCTGTGGATTATTTATTTACTTACTTACTTTAGTTGTGGTGAAATGGATGATTAGCACACTTTTAAAACATGAAGAGGCCATCAAGAGTGCTGATGTTGGTAAAGGTGAGACAGTGCTCATGAAACAATGAAGGCAATTCAAGAGGTAGAAAAATTGTTATAATTTGGATAAAGGAAAAGCAGTTAGTCAGTGACAGCATTTCGGGGGCAATGATACGCGAAAAAGTGAAGATGCTGCATACTGACGTCTAGAAAGATACCCTTGAATGAGTGCTAAACATGATTAGTTTAAGGCTAACAGGGAGCAGTTCGATAAATTTAAGAAAGAAGTGTTTGCTTATAGATTAAACACACTAGACATGCACTGTATACAGGAAAGGTTAAGCCATTTGGGGGGTCTGGAACAAATTAATCAGTTTACATGATTTCTAACAGGAAATATCGATTTTGTTTTCCAAGACACCGCTTCTCGAACAGCCTTTCAGAATGAATTAGGTTCAAGAACCGAGGTTCTGCTGTAGTGATAATTCATAAAGCGGGCTTTAAAAAGGTCATGATGTTTCATGAATGTCCCTAATTTCATTCAACTGGCATTACTGGAGACCTTCTGTGTACCTGATTCTCTGTGCCTGGTTTTGGGTATTAAAAATAACACAGAACATGTCTGTTTTCACAAACCTTATAGTCTCATGGAAAGATGAAAACAGTCACAATGTTTATTATGTGTGAGGTACCTCTGCACAGGTCCCATCAAACACTATTCCTATATTTCCACTCTCCATGAACTGAGTGTGAGCCTGGTTTTCCTAGAATAGAGGCCATGTATTCTGTACTAAGGTTAGGAAAGCAAAGGATGCCCCTAGCCTGTCACAAGATGTGATATGTGGATAAAGAACCTGATTTTCTCAGGTGTAGGAGTGGAGAGGGCAGAGGGAAGAACATCCATGAAGATGTGGGCATGAATGTGCATGCTGGGTTCTGGGAACAGTTATGTGATTTCCTAAGTGTTCTATAAAGATAAAAATGTTCTGAGACCTTCATGGACCATGGAAGTAATTCATGTTTAACAGAACAAAGTCAGTTTTCTCTGTGGCTGATAATTTCATGCCAGTGTTATGGAGAAACAATGCTTTTGACTAGGGTTTCAGCAGCAAACTACATTATCTGAGCTGGTTTCCAGAGAGGGTGGCTGCACTTCCCTCCTGACCCCTCAGAATCCCCATGAAAGGACAGCAGGAGCTTGGAACCATGGCATATTGCTCCTGGACCATGCTTTGTATGGAGTGGTATGCCCCACTGATCCCTCTCACCTCGTGTTCTGGAGGGTGGACACATCCTTGTTGAGTGAGGAGAGCTTGGTTTTCAGAATCCAGATGGTCATCAGAAAGAAGACCAAGTTAATCTGCGGAAACCCCACAAGGCATATTGAATATATTCCTCCTGGCTCATCCAATACCTAACTCAGCCAGTATTTCATAGCAGTCATAGAAAAAGGGACCAAATTGCACCCAGTAACTCAGGCTTATGCTTGTTCTGTAACTGGGGTGATCAACTTGTCCCAGTTTTTATGGCAATCTCCACATTTTAGCACTGAAAGTGAGATGTGTCAGGAAATCCCTTTATCCTGGTTTTAAAACAGAAATTTTGCCTGCTGTATGCCTTCTCAGTCCTGGGCAAACTTTAAGGATTTCTCATTCTGCCTGTAACCCTCCTTATACACCTGCTCTTTGATAGACCCTCAGCTGGGCAGGAAGCATGCTCTCATGTCATCTTTTACTCACAGAGAAGATGGTGCAGACGGGGCCAAGGAAGGTCCATATAAATCCCTTTTGTGTGCTGAGCCAGCATCTAAGAGATGGAAAGAGACTGAAGAATCTATTTGCCTTTGTGGATAAAGACTTGGTAGACATATCCTTCACCACCCATAGTTTCTTCTTCCTCCTATTGCTAATATTGTTTCTTTTTGATAAGAACCTTTAAGCTAAGATCTATCCTCTTACTAAATTTTAAGTATACAATACACTATTGTTAATTAGGCCATATACTTTAATCTTATCTTATTACTCTTTCATAACTGAAACTTTGTATGCCCTTGATGGTGATGCTGGTCCTGGTTGTATAGTTAAATTCAAACTTATCAGGTTATAGACCTTAACTATGTATAGCATTGAATACATCAATCATGCCATAATGATGTGATTTTTAAAAAGATACATTTATTTTAAAAGTGTCTGTCAGGTATGCTGGCAGAAGAAAATAAACAGTTTTACATGAAAAGATAAATATCAATAAGTAAATTAAGTTATGGTTTATTGTGAAAATATTGTGTCTCCTCTGTATCAGGATCTCTGCTCGACCTGAAGACCCAGCTGCAATTGAGATAGTCTGGTCCCAGTCCTCAGGGAAGGTCACTAATTAGACAATAGAGACAATCAGGATGATGAGTTTTATGGTCAAGTGTGAGGAGCTATGAGAACACAGAGCTAGACAGCTTGCCTCGTCTGTGGTATAGGAGGGTTAGGTAGTTGGGAAGAGAGAGAACTGATTGCATTTATTCTGAGATATGAATGGATGAACAGGTGTAGAGGGTTAGGTAGTTGGGAAGAGAGAGAACTGATTGCATTTATTCTGAGATATGAATGGATGAACAGGTGTATAGAAGGTGAAAAAAAATTGGAGACTTGCAAGATGATAGTAAAAAAAGATGACGACAGTAACCTGATAACAGTACTAAGGTAGGGCTCATGTGCATTACATAATTTATTCCTCATGACAACATTGACGCAAGTGATCACAGGTTGGTATCTAATGCTTAAGGAAACATAGTAAATCAAGGCCACACTGATAGAAATGATAGAACTGGAAATGATCCCATGTGAGATATTTGTGAATGAGTTGGGAGGTTTGAGTACCATGAAATTAGGTAGACTCACCAGAAGACTCAAAGCCAACCCTACTAAGACAAGGCTGGCAAACCACACCCTGTGGGGCAAATGGGGTCGCTACCTGATTTTGTAAAGGTTCTTTGCAGGTACACAATTATACCGATTCTCTTGCATATCGCCTATGGCAGCTCCTGTGCTACAAGGACAGAGGTGAATAGTTGCAACAGAGAGTACACGGTCTGCAAAGTTGCAGCCCTTTACAGTTTGCTGACTTTTATGCAAGCTGTATAGGAAGGTCATCCGACCAGGGCTACTCCGATGGTGGTGAACATTAAATATATCAACATAGAAGTACGTTGTAAATGCTGGATTGTCTATATTTGATCCCAGTTCTGCCAGCAACCATCTGTATGATTTGGACCATGTCAGTAATCTCTGTATCTCAATTTCCTCACCTGTAAAACTCATATAATACCTGTTCTACCTAAGTGGGTTGTTGGGAGAATGACCTGAGCTGATACATGAAAAATATTGGGAATATAGATTGCATGTCCAAAGTGATTTCTAAATCTTAGCTCTGGTCATCACAATTTCATCATCTAAATAACACCCCCCCCTTTTATTTAATTAAGGAGAGAAGTAGGTTACACCAACCAATGCCATCCCTTCATTCCCATTTTGCTTCCTAGAATATTTAAAGCAGTCCCCTCAATTAGTGTGATAAATATTATATTAATACTAGAGGCCCGGTGCATGAAATTTGTGCACAGGGGTATGTCCCTCAGCCCAGTTTGCACCCTCTCCAATCTGGGACATCCTCTCACAATCCAGGACTGCTGGCTCCCAACTGCTCACCTGCCTGCCTTCCTAATTGCTCCTAACCGTTACTGCCTGCTAGCCTGATCACCCCCTAACCACTCCCCTGCCAGCCTGATTGATGCCTAACTGCTCCCTTGCAGGCCTCCGTAGCAGAGCTAAGGATGTCTGACTGCTGGCTTAGGCTTGCATCCCCCTGCTCCCCTCCTGGATATCCCCCAAGGGCTCCTGGACTATGAGGGGGCACAGGCCAGGCTGAGGGACCCCAGCCATATATGTACTTTGGGAGTTACCAGGCTGGCAGGCAGAGGTGGTTAGGGGTGATCAGGCAGGCAGGGGAGCAGTTAAGGGCATTAGGCAGGCAGGTGAGTGGTTAGGGGCCTGGATTGTGAGAGGGATCTCGGATTGGAGAGGGTATAGGCTGGGCTGAAGGACCTTTCCCCCTAACCGTGCATGAGTTTTGTGCACCAAACCTCTAGTATAAGTATAATTAATATTTAAAAAATTAAGTCTAGAAGAGAAAAATCAGCTTATTTAACCATGTATTAATTTATGATTGTTAACATTTCATTATTATGAAAGTATAAGTAATGAATGTAATGCACAATTAATATTATATAAACATAATTGTATACTATATAATTAACATTTGAAACAATGAAATTTTAAATTCCTAAAAAACAATCACTTCAAGGAATACAATCGTGGAACCAGGAAGATGTCTTTGGGTGGTTATTACTGTTTTCCTATACCTATCATATTCTAGTGAAATTAAAGTGCCACATTGGTTCTCTGCTGACCATGGTCATGGGGAGAAGATGAAGACAGTGGGAACTTTAATTTACCGGGCAGGTGTTCCATAAAGGTGAGGCCTGGATGCTGCAGAAATGCCCACGATTACAGCCGGGACTCCGTAGCCCACAGGGAACATGAGCCACTTCATGAACCTGCTCACGCTGGAGTAGTTGACCACCCTTAGGTTGCAAGCGGCGAGGAAGAGGTGCAGGCCCTCCAGCAGCATCCAGGTGAAGGAGGCCAGGTAGAGATAGTGTAAGGCACCCGCGATGACGGCGCACAGCACCTGGAGGAGGAGTGAGAGTTACCAGGTGGGACTGTCAGGTGAAGTATGGACCCAAGACCTCTCCTATACTCTTTTTTTTTTTTTTTTTTTGGAACTCTGATGTATATGAAAGAAGTGTCAAAAAAGGGGGTCTTCTAGTTGGGCCAGTCATTGTGAAATTGGCTACTCACCCCTCCAACATTCCTAAAACACAAGGCCAATTTGCTAAAATGTTCAATGCAGCATGGCGCCATGAACTCCACATCCCACAGGGAGGACAGGTGTCCTTTGGGACAGTGTCAGTACCTTGTTCTCAGTTCTGTCTATGGCCGTGAGGAAGAGCAGGTGGGCCAGGAAGAGGCAGAGCGAGAGCTGCAGGTGGAGTGAGGTGCTGGTGTTCTGGATGGCTTTGCACAGCAGGAAGGTGAGGGCCGCCAGGAGGAGGCACAGCAGAGAGAGGCTCAGCCCCACGTAGGTGATCACAGCCAGGGCGGGATCCTCCCCCTGGGACCCAGCAAAGAGGAGACATCAGTTATACTTTCCTGAGCTGGATTAATGACTCTCCCACCATATTTAGTTTTATTTTTGGATGTAACAAAATCAGGAATGGAGGAGCCACCTAAAATTCTGATGTTTGTGGGTAATATTAGAGTTTTATGGGTCCTGAGTGGATTAATTCAGACCCCGGAAGAATTGAGGGATAGAAGAGATTACTCAAGATCAAGTCCTGGAACTCACAGGGTTTATTTTAAAATATTTTTTTGCCCCAATCAGTGTGGCTCAATGGAAAGAGCATTGGCTTGTGAACTGAAGGGTCCCAGGTTTGATTCTGGTCAAGGGCATTTACCTCGGTTGCAGGCCTGATCCCTACCCCTGGTTGTGTGTGCAAAGGCAGCCAGTCAATGTGTCTCTCTCACATCGATGTTTTATTCTCTCTACCTCACTCTCTCCCTTCCACTCTCTAAAAATTGAAAAATAGCTTCAGGTGAGGATTAACAACAACAAAAAAGAATGTCACTGAAGAAAAATTTCCCTGCTGGTGTTGCTCAGTGGTTGAGTGTTGACCCATGAACCAGGAGATCATGGTTTGATTCCCAGTCAGGGCACTTGTCTGGGTTGTGTGTTCGATCCCTTGTAGGGAGGTGTGCAGGAGGCAGATGACTGATGATTCTCTCTCATTGATGTTTCTCTCTCCCTTTCCTTTCCTCTCTGAAATCAATAAAAACAAAATACTTTTATTGAATTTTAGAGATAAAGGAAAGGAGAGGGTGATAAAGAGAGAAACACTGATATGAGATGAAACATCAGTTGCCTCCTGCACAGTCCCTATGGGAATAGAGCCTGCATCCCAGGCATGTGCCCTGATCGGGAATCAAACCAGAAACCTTTTGGTGCACCAGACAGCATGGGCCAGGCATAGGGTTTATTTTTCTTTAGACTTTTGGGCATGACTAAGCTTATAGGTTATCACGTGAGAAGAAGGAAGTGTGTAAACAATTGCAACATTATGTATTAGCAAATGATCAAAACAAAACCCACTATAAGAGGTCTTGATGTGTAATTTATGGAGCATTCACAAAATTAAATGCTGTGTGGCAATAAAAATGATGAAGTGTCTCTTTGTAGGCTGGAATAGAAAATTCTCCTAGATGGAATAAATAAAATACAATTTGCACAACAGTGAAAACACACACACACAGACACACACACACACACACACACACACACACACTCCACCAAGTCTTTGAGAAGGGAAAAACCAAGGAACCAATACATGCATTATTTTTATACAGGATGAAGCAAAAGTAGGTCTACAGTTATGAGTATGTGAAAAACAGAGTTTATTCATGTACTATTTGTTAATTATTGTATTATTTTCCATACAAACAACTATAGACCTACTTTTGCCAGACCCTATATGTATGAAATATTCAAAGAAAAATACAGGAGAAACTAACAGCTTTGACTGGTTGAAGCCAGAGGAACTAAGCATCTGGTTTCTTTCTCATTCTGTTTGAATTTAAAATGTAAATATTTTAAATCTTCAATAAATGTAAAACAGTATGTAAATAAAAGCATGAATATTGTATTACCTAGTGAGGTGGCCAGAGGAAGCATGGTCTTGGAGAGTTGTTCACACTTCTGGAAGTTTCTATGAGACCTGGCCACTTGGCTATTATTCTTTTGATGTGGGTGCCACATTTATTTCAGCAAACTAGAGACCCAGTGCACAAAATTTGTGCATGGTGGTAGGGGCGTTTATCCCTCTGTCCAGCCTGCACCCTCTCCAATCTGGGACCCCTCAAGGGATGTCCGACTGCCCGTTTAGGTTCGATCCCACCGGGCAATTGGACATCCCTCTCACAATCCAGCAATAGATGCTGAATTCAACCCCTTTTAGGGCTCTCACCTGCACATCATAGTGGGCCATGAGGACAGCAAAGCTGCTGAGGTGGCTGCATTGGCAGGTGGTGCTGGCGTCTCTGGTGCCCACCCTCCAGCAGCCTTTGGTGGACCAATAACTTTTATTCTGGCCAGACTCCCAGAAGACACAGAAAAGCTTCTGCTGTGGCTCTGGGGCCACTGCCTGTAGGAACAGGGCAAGGTGTGAGCTGGTGTTTCTGATGCTCAGAAATGCTGACCCAAATCCTTGCTTGCAATGGGCTTTCCTGGGGAGATGATGCACCCATGGGAGAGCCCCCAGAACCTCAAGTCTATTCCCAGCAATCAGGATCATTTTATATCTATAGCCCCATCCCAGCAGGACTCACATGCTTGAAGATGAAGGTGACTGGGGAGCTTAGGTTCTGGGTGTTATTGCTCACAAAGACAGAGATGACATCTGAGAACAGGATGAGGGAGACTTCCTGCAACAGGCCCTTGTGTGTCTCATGCAGAACTGACTGCTCCTCAGCTTGTAGAACCAGGGGGGCTTCAGCCATCAACTTGCCCATTCCCGGGGTGGACAAAAGGCCCACCGTAGACGGACCTATAGGAAAAGACCATGGTTGGCATCTTGAGGGGCTCACAGGACCCCTTCTTCAGGTAGGCTCTTTTCTTATGGACCCCACCATAGCCCACATTTTCCTTTAAACTTTAATTCTCCATTTATTCCATCCTTGGGAATCTTGCCCCACTGTGAAACCTCAGTGAACTTCTCCCCATCTCAGCCTTACCTGAATCACCAGATTCCTGTACTGCATCCCAGTCCAGCATCATCTTTGTCTGGTTAACACTGAAGGTGACCGTCCTGTCTCCTTGCTTCTTTATCTTCAGAGACAGTTCTATGAATTGTGGAAGTTATATTGTGGGGGTTGTTAGATTAGTAATTGAACCTGCAATGGTTGCTATAATACCCTGTTATATATAACTAATATATTATATAATTGTATTACATATTTATTTATTACATAATATATATTATCTATTTATATAAAAGCCTAAGCTACCGGATAACCAGATGACTGAATGACTGGTTGACCGGTCACTATGACACACACTGACCATTAGGGCACAGAGGCTCAATAAAGGTCAGTGCACTCCCACAAAGGGAGTGGCAGCTCAGCTGACCGATAGGTGCCAGATGCAGGGTTCACTGCTGTGGCTGCTCGAGCCTCTCCTGATTGCGACCGACTGGGTGTAAGCCTATAGCAGGTGAAATGGGGCTGGGATGAGCGGGAGTCACAGGCAGGAGCTGCTGGTCTCAGACCAATCCCCACAGGCCGTGCTGAGGGACCCCACCAGTGCACAAATCCATGCACCAGACTATATATATATAGTAAACATGATAATAGAAAAACACATAATATTTGTGTACAAAATAATGGCATATATATCATGTGGATTTACAAAGGATCATAAGAGAATATCATGAACGATTATTCAACAAGTTAGATAACCTGGATGAAATGAAGAAATTCCTAGAGTCATACAAACTACCCAAATGGAATTAGTAAGATATAGGAAATTGGAACATGCCTGTAACAGGTAAATAGATTGAACCATTAATTAAAAGCTTCCCCAAATAAAAATCCCATAACTGATGGCTTCATTGGTAAATTCTTACCAGCCATTTATGGAAAAATGAACACCAATTCTTTGTAAAATTATCCATAAAATAGGAGAGGAAGGAAAATTATCTAAATAATTATATGAGGCCACCATCATTCTGAAAAGAAAATCAGATAAAGACATCATAAGAAAATAAAATTGCAGACCAATATCTAACATACACTGAGTGGCCAGATTATTATGATCTCTGAACACATAATAATCTGGCCACTCAGTGTATATCCTATATAATAAAAGGCTAATATGCAAATTGTCCCCTTGACCAGGAGTTCGACCAGCATGCAGGCCAGCCAACTGTCCATGAATGAATTCATGCACCAGGCTTTAAAATATATATATCTACACTAACAAAAGAGAAGCATGCAAATTGATTGTCCTTCTGCTATGCCCACCAGCCAATCAGAGTGAGTATGCAAATTAACTCAACAAAGATGGTTGTTAATTTGCATATGCAGGCGAAGAGCAGCCAGGGTCTGGAAACATCCTCAGGACCCAGGCCTCTCCTAGTGTATAGGTCCATGCTTACACCCTGGGCAGCAGAGGTCCCAGAATGCCCCCTGGCCACTCCGGAACTACAGGTGGAGGTACCAAGTGGCTGGGAGTGGGGCTGGAATATCCTTGTGTCATGGCTGTCAGGGTCCCAGCACGACCCCCAGCCCAGTACCCAGGATGCGGGGCTAGCTCTGGCCTTGGGAGCATGTCTCTGCCCCCCCTCTCCCCTTAGTTGGTGGGGACATGCCCCTAGCCCAGTAGACACAACACAGGAGGTCCTCTGCACATGAGCTGCAAAGGAAACACCTTTTCTTCTCTCTCTCTTTTTTAAAAAAACTATATTTTATTAATTTTTTTTTACAGAGAAGAGGGGAGAGGGATAGACAGTTGGAAAAATCAATGAGAGAGAAACATCAATTGGCTGCTTCCTGCACACTCCCCACTGGGGAAGTGCCTCCAACCAAGGTACATGCCCTTAATAGGAATCTAACCTGGGACCCTTCAGTCTGTAGGCCAACGCTCTATCCACTGAGCCAAACCAGTTCGAGAAAATACCTTTTCTGACCACTAATTGGCTAAGCTCCCTGTACACCGCCACTTGCAGTGTTCTTGGTAACTTGGGTTACAAGAATCCAAGAAAATGATCTAGGGTTTTTCCACCTCACTCCTGGAGGAGAAAACAAAGGTCTGCTGCTGGAGGGCTAAGAAATGTCATATCCTGCTCTTGCTGGTTTGGCTCAGTGGATAGAGCCTCAACCTGCCGACTGCAGGGTCCGGGTTCGATTCTGATCAAGGGCATGTACCTACGTTACAGGCTCCTCCCTGGCCAGGGCCCAGGTCAGGGCTCATTCAGGAGGCAACCAATCAACGTGTCCCTCTCACATTGATGTTTCTCCCTCTCTCTTCCACACTCTCTAAAATTCAATGGAAACATATCTTCAGATGAGAATAAAAAAAAAAAAAAAAAAAAAAGAAAGAAAGAAATGTCATATCCTATGAAAGACACATCTTGAAAATGCCTAAAGAAAGTTGTCACTTTTTCATGGTGAAGGGACTAGAGTCCGTGTTGATGAAAACACCTTGGTGGTTGTGACTGGCAGTGGCTGCAGCAGCGGGGTGGGTAATGGGGCTGGTGCCTTCCCTTGATCAGCCTGGTCGCCTCCTGCAGAGGGTGGCCAGTCTGTGGCTTAGGCCCGCTACCCATGGGAGGATTAAAGCTTAATTCTGGTCAAGAGCCACATGCCTGGTTTGTAGGGTCAATCCCCAGTGGAGGGCATGCAGGAGGCAGCCGATCAATGATTCTCTCTCATCATTGATGCTTCTCTTTCTCTCTCCCTTTCCCTTCCTCTCTGAAATCAATAAAAATATTCTTTTTAACAACAACAATAACAACAACCCCCCCACAAATAAACAAAAAGTATGGTACTGAGTTCTGGTCAAAATGGCAAGGTAGGTCCCACGAGTACATCAAAATAATTTCTAAATTATAGAACAATCAATTTGGAGAACAATTGGGAGACTAGCTGTAGAGAGGCCCTATAACTAAGGATATAAAGAAGAAGCTACATAGAGGCTGTAGGAGGGGAGAGATGAACTGGTCAGTCCTCAAGTGCAGCAGTTGAGCTTTGAGAGAGATATCTTAGCTGCAGAGGTCCCTTCTTAAAAGTGAGGAGTCCCAGCCCCACATTGGGCTCCAAGCCCAGAGTACCAGCGCTGGGAAGAGGAGCTCCCACAACTCACAGCTATGAAATCAGTAGGGATTCTGCCCACCCAGGTGAGATGAAAGGCTGTCGGAAACCCAAGTGTCCCCTTAAACTAGGGTGTTTGTAGGCACTCACGTTGGCCTCTGGCAGTCATCAACACAGACTCTAGCGGCACAAGGGGCTCAGAAAAAGCTGTAGCAGCAAGTGTTGCATTGCAAAGCACATTATTTGCAAACCCAAGACTTGGTACTATGGAAACTCTTTCTACCTGAGCAACAAACACCCTCTTCAACTAATCCCAGGGTCGAGTGGAGACACAGCGTGGATGCCACAGAGGTCTGCCAGTCACCAGGACTGGGAGAGCAAAGCAACAAAGGAAGCGACCTACTTCCCCCAGATCATCCCACCCCACACATCACGGTGAAATGCTGGCAGTGTCTGGGGACAGGGGGCAGCACTGGGATTTCATCCCATCGTTTACCACCTTTCCCCAGATGAGGTTGTTCTCCTAAGACCGAGGTATCTAAACTAGGAAGACTTCTCCAACCTTCCCACGGAGCACAGGCCATTTCCCGCCACCCCTCAGAGATCTGAAAAAGCAGAGCAATTCAGGAGAACGAAAAAACTTGTGATTCAGCACCACCTACTGGAAAACAATGGAAAGAATTAGGCAAACAGAACACCTAATGATCTCAATTCAACAAGGCCTTCTCCAAAGCCCATTGTATTAAAACTGTCAAAAGTTAATGTCATGGAGATCAGATGCATTAAAAAAAAAAAAAAAAAAAGAGAAAAGACTGCTGTATACATGAAAATTTCTTTTATGTGAACTTAATGGCAACTACACATAAAAACCCAAAACTGAGACACATAACTTAGAAAAAGAGGAAACAGGGAAAAATGATGAAATACCACCACCAAACAAAAACAACAGACAGGAGACAAGGAAAAAACAAATAGCACAGAGCTACCAGAAAACAAAAGATAAAACGGCTATAGAAAATCCTCATTCACCAAGAATCACTGTAAATGTACATGAAGGGAATTCACCAATAAAAAGGCACAAAGTAGCAGACGGTATCAAAAACAAAATCCAAGTTACCTAAAAAAATTAAGTGGAACTGCTTTATGACCCGGTGATTCCACTTCTGGAAATTTATCTGAAGAAACCTGAAATGCTAATTTGAAAGGATATATGCACCCCTTTATTCATTGCAGCATTATTTACAATAGCCAAGATTTGGAAGCAGTTCCATCAGTAGATGACTGGGGGAAAAAGATGTGGGACATTTATAGAACGAAATACTACTCTGTCATAAAAAGGGAGAAAATTTTACCCTTCTCTACAGCATGGATAGACCTGGAGAACATTATGCTAAGTGAAATAAACCAGTCAGAGGAAAAACAGTACCATATGATTTCACTCATATGTACAATTTAATGAACAAACTGAACTATTAATAGAGACTAATAGATAGAGGGCAGGCAGATAGCTCTGAGGGTGGAGGTGTTGGAGAGATTTAGACACTATTTAGTTGGTACAGTGTTTACTTTTGGGGTGATGAAAATATTTTAGAAATATTTTAGAAGTGATGATGACAACTCTGAATATACTGGATGTCATTGAATTGTACACTTTGGTTAAAATGGTCAACTTTATGTTATGTGAATTTTACCTCAATAAAACAAATTATTTTCAATGTCAAGTATTTTTAAAAAAATATATTTTTTATTGATTTCAGAGAGAAGGGGAGAGGGAGAGAGAGATAGAAACTACCAATGATGAGAGAGAATCATTGATCAGCTGCCTTCTGCATGCCCCCAGTGGAGATCGAGCCCAAAACCTAGGCATGTGCCCTTCATTAAACCCAGGACCCTCCAGTCCACAGGCTGATGCTCTAGCCACTGAGCCAAACAGCTAGGGCTCAAGTAATATTAAATATACTAGAGACCTGGTTCATGAAAATTCGTGCACTGGAGGGGGGTTCCTCGGCCCAGCCTGCCAATCTCACAGTCCAGGAACCCTCAGGGGTGGGAGGCAACCAGCAATCAGGGGAAGATGATGCCCCATCACACCTCTGCTGCTGCCACTGCCAGCAGCACAAGCCTCGGCAGGCCCTGGTTATCTGAGCCTCAAGTGGCCCTGGGCGGCTGGGCAGCTGCCATCTGAGACTTGCCTGCACCTTGGGCCGGCCTTGGGTGACTGGGGGCTGAGAGGACTGGGCAATGCTATCTTGTGGCTGTGGTGCTGCCATCTTTGAGGATGTGACAGTCAATTAGCCTATTCCGTCTTTATTAGATAGGATATTATTTTTTGTTTGTTAATTCTCACTTAAGGATATTTTTTCCATTGATTTTTAGAGAGAGTGGAAGGGGTGGGGGGAGAGAGAAAGAGAAACATTGATGTGAGAGAGTCACATTGATTGATTGCTTCCTGCAACCTTCCTGACTAGGGCCTGTGATTGAATCTGCAACTCAAGTATGAGCCCTTTACCAGGAATCAAACACACACCCTTTAGTGCGTGGTCCAAGGCCCCAACTACTGAGCCAAACTGGCCATGGCTAAATCTATATTCTTCAAAATTAAGTAAATTGTTCTCTTTTGAAGCCTTTTGTATTTCATCTTAAAATTGCCACTATTTTTATTTCACTGCTCATAATTAATTTTACAATGAAAATGTATATTAATTGTCATTTTATTCATTCTTTTTTTATTGCAGTATGATTGACATAACATTAGTTTCAAATGTACAACAGATGGCTCGATATTTATATATATATTGCAAAATGACCACCACAATAAATTTAATTAACACCTGTCATTATACATAGTTACTAAATTTTTAAAATTCTTGATAAGGACCTTTATGGTTTACTTGCACAGACACTGTCAAATATGTAATACAGTATTACCAACTATAGTTGCCATGGTATACATATATATCCTCATGACTTATTTATATTATAAGTAGAAGTTTGTACCTTTTGACTTCCTTTACCCATTTCAGCAGCCCTTCACCCCCTGCCTTTGGCAATTGTCAATCTATTCTTTGTATCTATGAGTTTGTTTTTTAGATTCCACATATAAGTGATAGCATTCAGTATTTGTTGTCTGTTTGACTTATTTCATTAGCAAAATTTATTCATTTCTCTTTAAGCTTTTACTTTAATTTGCTTATGAGTGGTCACTCAGCTCCAGTGAGATTGGGGGAGGAATGAGGTGCAGAATGGACAGGGCTGAGACTGAGGGCAGACCCAGGCACTTACCTGTGCCTCCGGTTGCTTTAAAGGTCAGCGATTCATTGGGTGGGGCCTTGCTCAACTTTCTGACGACATGTTCCATGTTGAGGAGCAGGTTAGTGGCCACATAGTTCTGATCTGAGTGGGGCCAGGTCTCCAGGTCCCCTGGGCTCTCCAGCAAGTCATCCACCTCCTGTATGAGGTCCTGGGGGTATGGACACAGAACCATTGGCCCATGCACTACAGGGGCTACAGGAAAACTTTGCCCACTCAGCTCCAGCAAACAGATTCTAGATACTGTGTATTTGGGTAGTACCAGATTGCCCCTGCAATCCAGCCATGTAGAGGTCAGTCCTGTTCATAATGCCAAGGGTGATGAAAACTGAATGGGCGCCAAAACTGGTTTGGCTCAGTAGATAGAGCATTGGTCTGCAGACTGAAAGGTCCCAGGTTCAATTCAGGTCAAGGACATGTACATTGGTTGCGGGCACATCCCCAGTAGGGATTGTGCAGGAGGCAGCTGGTCGATGTTACTCTCTCGTCGATGTTTCTAGCTCTCTGTCCCTCTTTCTCTCTCTTCCTCTCTATAAAAAATCAATAAAATATATATTTTTTAAAAAAGAAAACTGAATGGGCAGGAACAGCAAGAAAGGTGTTAGTTGGTGTCTGAGGATCTAACAGTGAGTGCAAGTACCTGCATGTCTGCTTTCCCCACTCGCCCTAGGAGAAGAGGGGACTCAGAGCAGGGCACCATTGTGCCCCTTCCCAAACCAAGGCTGCCCAAGTTCTCCATGGGATTCCTCCACTGCCTCCCCCAGGTCCTGTCCTTACCTGGATGTTGTCCAGATCCGAGGCTGACTTGAAGTCTCTGTCCAAATCATTAAATTTTTGTACCAAGGGGGAGAGCCTCTGGGGAGAAGGAAGATGTGATAGTCAGAGAGTGTCACAGGTAGATGGGGAAAGTTGGGGAAAATAGGTGGGTGCTGAAGGTGGCATAGAGGTATTTTCTGCCTTTGTCCTTGCGGGAGTCACTCACCTTGCTGTTGTTGACTCTAGGGTGTGCATTCCATTTGGGGAAGATCCCTGGTGCAGACAGAAGGGCAGATCATTAGGTGTATGTGAGTGTGTGTGTGTGTGTGTGTGTGTGTGTGTTGGGGGTAGGGCTTGGGACCCAGGCCAGGTTCCTACCTGGATTGTCATTTGGTAATTTACGGACCCTGGTTTGAGAATAGAAGCACCTGGGAGGTTCCACTGTCCCCTCTTCCCTTAGTGGACACTTTTTTCTAGTCACATGGAAGCCTCATAGCATAATAATGTGGTGGCTTCGATGCTCTTTTGTCCAAATGTGGATGGAATCAGCCTGAGTCTTACGTGTCTGCTATTCCCAGTTCCCTAAATTTCCTGGGAAGTTCCCAGCTACCATAGGGGAACATCACAGCTGCCTGTGTCCCAGCCTGAACTTTAGACAGAGGACAGAGTATGCCTTCATGAGAATCCAGGGCACAGGAAATGCTGCATTTCCTGGTCACGACCTGACTTGCCTCCCAGTGATAGCCTTAGTTCTCATTTCCCCAGAGCAGCTACTCACTGACTGAGTTCTCTTTGGAATCCCATTGGGAATGCAAGGGCTTGTAGGAAGGGGTGAGGAGAATGAAGATGATGCCAGACAAACAAGAGCCACCCAGACAGTGGATACCAGAGTAGGGGAGAGAGGGAGTTATGGCTGCCACTGGACTTAGAAGAGCTCAGAAAAATCTGGACATTTAGGGAGGAAGAAATAGCTTTTCTTATTTTCAGAAGACCCTCCCTGGTCCCATTTTCAGAGTAAGCCTCCTTCTCTCCTTGTTAGTAAGAGGACCCGGACCCCAACCAGCACTTACCCAGCTTATGTCACTAATTGCCCTGGCTGGGCAGACTCACCTTTAAGGGCTTTATCTGCAGCATCCAATGTCAAAAGGAGATGGTCATAGAGTCCTGGGGCAGAAAGACAGAAAAATGATCAAGATAGGTCAGTGGAGCTCCAATTTCAACCTCTAACCACAGGCCTCCACCTGGAAGGTGGCTCTGGCCCTGCAGCCCACAGCTTTCTGGCAATTTCTCTGAGGTTTCTATGCTTGAGATCAAGGACTCTGTCTTTTCCCTCCATTTCCTGGGACTCCCCAAGGAGCCAGTCACTGGTAGTCGGGGAACCTCAGATGCTACAGGTAAGGGGACAGAACATACACACAGCTGATGACAGGGACACATCTTAGAAACGCCAACCTTTTCCAATGGGGAGGTTATATCTTGAAGGAGAAAGTCCTTAGATTGGTTTGATTTTTCCCATATTCACATTCTTGGTTCTTTGGCAATGGCATAAATCTGCTTTGAAACCTCATAGTCAGTAGGTGCCAGTTCTTATTCACAGGGAGGCATCCTATGGGTGAATGTTGTGGCTTCAATGCTCCATTGTCCAGATGTGGATGGAAATGTCCTGAATTCTCCCTGTCATTTAGCCCCTGTGCACTTGCTTCCCTGGCAGCTCCCAGGTGGGGTGGAGACATCATGTTTACCTGTGTCTCAGCCTGAGCATTTGGACAAAGGCCAGAGTGGACCTTCCTGGGAGCCAAATGCAGGAGAAATATGTCCCCTGAGCAGTACCCAACTTGGCCCCTGGTGATGGCCTTTGTCCTGCCTCCTTTAGGACAGTTTCTCTCTGCCTTAATTCTCCTTGGAACCCAGTGATGCTGGCAGAACAGGGTTCTCCTTTCCATGCTAACTCTGAGACTCAAGCTGGCCCAAGACCCACCCATGATCCTGACTCCTCAAGGCCTGGAGAAAGGGGTGAGAAGAATGAAGGTGATGGCAGATAAGCAAGAGCCACTCAGACAGTGGATGCCAGGCCATCATTGGATATCCAGCCATGCAGGCTTGAGGTGGTGAAGATGCCTCTTATGATCCCCACAAAGGCATCCCCTGGACTGGCAGGAAGCGGTGAGAATCCACTTCTGAGCAAGGCCAGCAGTAGGTAAAGGCTGGGTGGCTGAAGAAGGGAGCAGGTGCTGATGGCCAAGGGGTGGCAGCTGTTTCTGTCATCTGGCTTTTTGATCTGCATCAGGAATACCAACTTGTAGGTCCTGCTGACTGGGCTCAGTTTGGGTCCCCCTGTGGCCTGAGTTGACCTTTACAGGAGAGGGTCAGGCATGGGGCAATGATGTCCAATTACATCCTTTCTTTCAATCTCATTCAGATAGGAGCCTCTTTCATTTACCTCACTTTCTGAGTATCTGTGGGGTGGTTTATTTCACCCTGCCCACCTCCATCACAACATCCTCCTGGATCCTATTCATCTGAGTTGCCCATAGGCCCATGAACTGAACTTATTGGGTTGAATCAGGGTGGAGCCTTGCTTGGGAAAATAGATGCAGCTGAGAAGTGGGGTCAGGGTGCTAGTAGGGGTTTCACCAGGTGTGGTTGTTGGCCAGGGCAGGGCCAGCTGGACCACATGGGCTGACCCTTGACTCTTGCCACTCACACATTTCTGAACAGGGTGCATCAAGGCCTGAGGGATCTGAGAGTGCTTCGGGGGTGGCCAAGCCCATGTGGACTCTAGTGGGGGAAGATCTCAGCCTGGAAGATTCTGATGAAGAAGAAAAGAATGGATATTGCACTGGAATGCAGTACTCTGTGAGCTCTTGAAGTATCTTGAATGATACCACTTTCTTTGTTTTATAAAATTAAGATGCCAAGTAGCAAGAGGATGTTCCGAAATTGTATAAGTGGCACTTGGTGGGGCATTCAGAGTCTTGGGGTTCAGAGAGGGTGGGTGACCTGGTTAGTGTCCAGGCTACCTCTTTGATAACCTGGAGAAAGGATTGAGAATCCCAAACCTAATGAATGAGAAGATGGAAGACATGGGATCCTTCTCACCATCACACAGGTTGTCAGCATCAATGTGGAACATTTTCTCAGAAACAGGCCTGTTGTCTCGGCTGCATCTGCAGTAGGACTCCGTGAAGTCTTGGCAGTCTAAACGTATTTCACAGGACCATTCTGACTTTGGTCCACACTCCTTGATGTCTGGAACACAATAGGCAAAATGTCAACTCTCAAAGGCAAAAGTTCACACTGGCAGTGACCCTGCCCTCCAGTATGACCCTGTCATGGGGGCTGGAGAGAACACAGGTCCAGGGTTGCACTCCTAGGATGGGGCTGGGCAGAATCAGCTGCCCCAGAGCCTACTGACTCCTCAGCCCATCTTTACTCTCTGAGGCACCTACATTCAGACACTCTGCTGTGTCATGATGGGGTTGAAAGGAGGTCTGCATCCCTCTTCTCAGGCCTTGAGGGGTAGATGGAGACACTGATTCAGGCTCCAAATCCTCCTTTGTGATGCTATTTGCATCATTGGCGACTTGGGGTGGCCTCCAAATAGGGTGATAGTGGATTTGATGGCCATCCTCAATGCTGAGGTTATGGAGGGAATCATGGGTAGGGCTGTATAAGGTGAGGTGGCACTCACTCATCACATACCTGGAGATAGAGCCAGGTGTGAGCCCCTGCCCATTGACACCGTCCATTTCCTTTTAATCACAGTGGCCCAAGTACACCCCACCCTCCTTGGCAGTTCCCCATCTGGCATTTCCCCAGCTCCCAATGGCAGCCTTTTACAGATGCCCAGGATATCTCTGGGAGAGTCTTCTTATCTTCATCCTGGGTAAGATCCTCTGTTATTAGAGGCAGTAGGGGATGTGAAATGAAGAATTAGCATGAAGGCACTCACAGCTAAGCCATGGGGCTGTTTTCTGGCATTTTATCTTTTCATGTTCTCTAAACCGTAGAGAAAGTTGTCCATGGGACAGGTCTCATTTGAGTTGCTCAGAGGTCCAGCGAGAAGTGGCTGGACACCACTGGGTAACAATAGCAAATTAATAAGAACCAAATGAATAAAAATGTAGGGACAGAAAGCTTTACTCTGTACATTCCAAACAGGGTACCAAAGTCTTTAGGGCCTGCCCCAACCAGTTTGGCTGAGTGGATAGAGTGTAGGCCTACTGACTGAAGGGTCCCAGGTTTGATTCCGGTCAAGAGCATGTACCTTGGTTGTGGGCACATCCCCAGTATGTGCAGGAGGCAACTAATCAATGTTTCTCTCTCATCGATGTTTCTAACTTGCCATCCCTCTCCCTTCCTCTCTAAAAAAAATCAATAAAACATATATATATATATATATATATATATATATATATATATATATATTTTTTTTTTTTTTTTTTTTTTTTTTTTCAAGACTTTAGGGTAAGGACTCATTGGGATCATGAGGAGTGAATTAGTCTCCCACCAGGTCAGTTTCTTTTCTAAATTCATGAATTTCCATTTCAAGGCCTAGGTTATGGAGTCAGACCAGGACAGGAGAGGAGCTGGGCGGGATTCACATCTGTGGCATTCATGTTTAGCCTCCACCTGGGCAATAGGTCTTTTTTTTTCTTTTCAGATGATAGTGATGGCTGGAGACCTGCCATTAAGTTTGATGCCATGGGGTAGAGGAGTTGAGGAAAAGTGGAAATAAGGTGTGAAATGGAAGGACAAAACAGTGGGAAATTCCTCAACCTGACAAGTGCCTTCAAGAAGGAAGCTGGGATCCAGGTACCTTAGTAGCATCTTCTCTCCATGTCAATACAGTCTACAATTTTGCATGTGACATGCAAATGCACAAAGAAACCTTTAGGAATACCACTAGTGTTATGGATGGGCACAGCAATAGTGACAACATCTTTTTCTTTTCCTGATAAAAGTTACTTTTCCACAAATATTAAATAACACTTGGATACTGAGAAAGCAAAGAAAATAAAATAATGACAAAAATAATCACCCATAAGTCCCCAATAGAGACTATTGAAAAATTTTAGGGGTATATTTTTATCATCTGTTCACATATA